GCATTTACTAAGAAGTTCAATATAAAATAGAAATAAACCCATTGATGTGTGGGTGATGTTTAAGATTCATTCCACCTCTCTTTTCTTCCCCTTAATGCAAAACTGCTGTCACTGCCAACTATTGCAACTTCTGGTAGAGAATAATGCCTCACCACTCAGGAGTTCGCAAGGCTTTGTGAGGGAATTACAGCCACTGTCTCAAAGAGACTGATGATTGAGTGACATTTTTAGTTACCTGCCTCAACAGATGATATTTCTGGTAATTTTAATGAAGAAGCAGCCCAGTGGTTCAAAGAACATAATGAAGCAGGTGTCCTACTGTTTTGCAGGCACGTGCTACTAAAAGTCGGACAGTCGTGTGAAAAATAAATTTGAAAATAGATCTTTCATTCACTTTGTTCAAATGGGTTTTTTTACCTCACCTGATTAAGATTTTGAATCTGGTAGAAGTTTATTTAATGGAGTTTGTACAGGCTGCTCCATGAAAAGCTTTAGACAAGTCAATAAAAATGTCCCAGATGTATGAAGGCCGTTATCTATAGCCCAATGAATGTCATCTGTAACCTCAAGCTGTATGGAAGCTGCTGCCTGCAAAAGTCAAAAGCCAAAAGCCAGGCCGGCATTTGCTCTCTTGGCTTCTCTTCCCGTTCCTTTATGCTGATCCGGGAGATAGTAAATCCGAAGAGAAATTCCATTGTTGAATGGCCACTTTAAAATAATGCAGGACGCTATTGACAGAAAGTGGGGTTGAAATAGCTGTAAAAAGTTTGATTGTAGGATCAGGTCTTTGCTCTGCAGGGGAGCATGAATGCAAAGACTCATTTGAGTGCAGAATCCTTCTGATACCATCAAGAATGATCCAGCAGAAGACAGGAAGGAATCTCATCTTTTTTAAGTTATTTCCAGCAGACTAATTTTTATTTTGTTTTATCTGGCTTTTCTTCAGACACCTTAAAACAGACTGATGAAAAAGAGAAGCAGAGCTGGGTATTATCAGCATACTGATTGCACTGCACCCCCAGATCCCTTTAGAGTTTGTGACAGAGTATTGTTATACTAATTTTAGTCTATCTGCCTTCAGAAATATATCTTAAACGCAACTAACTAGAACTGCAATTTAGGGCAAAACTGCGTGTTACCTTGGCAAACAGATATATCCAATTATTGTAGCATGTATCTCAACCCTTTTATGCTGTTCTGGTGTGATCCTGCCCACTGTTCGGCTATTCTAGCTGCACTGTTTTCCTGTTCTTTTCTTGCTCTGCATGCTCAATACTGGGATGCAGTCCCATGTTCCATAAAAGACAGAGGATGCAAATGAAATGCTTCACCTGTCAGCTTCGTATCCTTATTTCTGAAGAGGTACTCACTTTCTAGGACTGCTAGGAGTAGTATGGAATGATTTTTTAATGGGAACTTAAATTCCGTATAGATAATCACTCTGTGAGAGCATTTTGCAACCTTCAATGGAAGGCTATAAAGTTTGGTATACATGTACCAAAAGTGGCATTACTTTGTGGACGACCAGACCTTAGCTGCTCTCCTCTTAATTTGCAGATCTCCCCTTACATTTAAATTAAATCCTAATAGAGTTAATCTTGAAATATGCAATGGATTGTATGACTCGGAGCCACTTTCCTTGCCATGTTTGCAGAACTAAGGCAGCCATATTGGCGGGGGGGAGAGGAGGGGGTTGGAACCAGATTAAGATAACTGCACTGGGCATGTAGGCCACATAATCATTTGCTTGCCGGATACAAAGATTACTAATGAAATTTACTAGCTTTCTAGAATCAGTAGTCTCAGTCCCTGTTGATATCAGTGACCGGGGGAAAGGTAGCCATAAGATCCTGGAAGCCAAATTTAGAAAGCTGAAATCTGGGACAACCAAGGGGGCCTTCGCTGAAACATTATCAGGCCAGCTAGATAGACATAGCAGAGAAGTGTCAGGGCAGCATGGTTCAGATTTGTTAGGTGCTGGGAAACATTTTGGAGCAATATGAGCCTTTACAAGAGGGATGGGCTCCTCTTGAACCATAATGGAACCAGGCTGCAGAAGTGACACCTAAAAAAATCCTGGGGGAAACCGAACAGAGCCTGGCATGTATCTTGTTGCAGGGAAATCCTCCCTAGGGGGTGAAGGTGAAAAAGATTCCGATTGCCCAAACACAGGAAGGGGGCCAAAAGGCCATGGGACATGACAACCAGCCTTGCGCGGAAGCACCAGAACGAAATAGCACATGCCAGAGACTTGGCCTAGTTCTGGCCCTGCCTGCCTTCATAAGGCCTGGGTTGCCCACAGCTCTCGCTGGGACAACTGCTTTCCTTAGAAGGGAATTTTCCAGCCAGAAGTGCTACCTCTTCACACTGCATCTTTGCTTAGCTGTTTGCCTCATCGTGACTTTGCTTCATCTAACGGGATCTCTCTCTACCTGACACGATACAGAGCCATAAGTGTTCATGCTGTAGGCCGCTTGCCTTCACCAACCAGGGGAGCGTGGATACTCTGTGCATTCCGAAGGGCCCAGGGTGAATCGTTAAACCCCTGCTTTGAGAAGCTGAAATGGTGCCCATTGGCCTCTTCCTTTAGCAGCAGTCCTTGGAATTAGGGTGTTAAGAGGGCTTTGCAAGTTAGGGCTCAGTATGTTTGTGTCGGAGTTCCTTGTTTCTCATGGGCTAGGATTGAGGGGTTCTAACAAAAGTATCACTGTTTTCCTGGTCCGCCTTGGCATTTAGTATTACTGGAATTGGTTGGATGTTTTAAAACTCTTCAAATAGACAGCTCAAGGTGGAGAGGATTGCTGGTCATGAACGGTTTCAGTCCATCCTAAATGAGTTTGAGAGGCGTCGGTGAGGTACCTGGGATTTTTATTCCTCCCACTCACTCTGCTCTAAGATCTTAGGTCCCTTCGTAGGTGGTGCTTTTATCTCATTCAGTGAGAGGTCTGAGAGAAAGAGAATCTCTTTAATTAGGAAACATGATCACCTGTTCAGGCATTAATGACTTTGATGAGCATTAGTCTTGATGTAGCTACTTAAAACTTGTGACTTTGGATTAATAAAAAATAATAACTAAGCTGCACTTGGGGCACAGGCACTAGATGCCAAAATAATCCATTAAGTGGCTCGTTTGAGAAATCAGTGGCCATGCAGTTCCCTGGACTCATTCTGAACATAACAGAAGTTGATTGATCACATAGGCTCCACAAGTAGGCATGCTGTGCTGGGGCCATATGCCGTCAGCTTGGAGTTGTTTATTGCACAATTTGGAACGAAAATTTAAATCTGCAAGCAGATGCTTCTGCCCCGGCAACCTTTCCCTTTCCACAGCAATCCAGTCACTTTATCAGCACCCTCGCCTTATTATTTTCCCTGTCATGGGTTGATGCTTGAAATCTGCAGTGTTCCAAATGTTTCTTGTATAGATTCTTGTTTTCCAGCTGGACAGAAGGCTGCAGTTTTCAAATAGGATTCAATCTGTTATAGTCTTGGTACAAATAAAAACTTTTCCCAGAGTGGTAGATCTGTTTATTCCATGGCAACAAGAACATAAATATCACAGATGACTATGTGGGTTTTTTGAGGAGTAAGCTGAAATAAGCTAGGGCTTACTTTGTCAGATGCATCCTAAGTTGACAGACACATATGCAATCAAGTCTAGGCAGAAAGTTCTGAGGTACCAGTGGTCGTGACATTTCTACCCATACACCAAATGTCTAGGAGTTTAGAATAGTGTGTATACATTACAGTAAAGTTTTTCCTTCAGGGGTCTTCCTAGCCCTTCAACACCAGTGAGAAAAATCATAACCTTTTGAAACCACCCAGCATCTTAAAGTATGTGCTGCTAACTGCCTTATAGCCATTGCTTAAAGCAGGCATTTCCATAATCTTGATTTTGGGGACCCCTCTCCTCCTCACTGTTTCTTTGGAGTCACCTGCCTGAGTGGCTTCCATTTCATTAGGTCTTTTTGCTATGGAGCCTTCAATACCAGATCATGCCACTAATACCATTGGCAACAGTACGGTGTTACATCTACATTGAAGTGAATGCCCCTCATAGTTGTAACAAAGGTTGGCAAACTGGTCTCAAATCTTAGTTTCAGTCTCTGTTTTAATGCCAACTAATACATCACGGCTAATGCTGAAGAAAGGAGAGAGGATGATATTAAAGGGGAGGGGGCCTGTAGCATGCTCCCAGTTTCACCTTGATTAAGAGACGGGAAAACTTTTGCTTCTCCGCAAGCTAAGCAATCCGCACCAGCTTCTGGTGCCATTTGGCTTCTCCATATGGAAGGCTCTTCTAGTTTAATGGCGCATCCTGTGTGTACATGGTTGGAAGGGAACCATGAGGGGGAAAACTTGCATTTAGTTACGATCTGTAGATCTCCCACATGAAGGGTTTTTTTTTTTTTGGCTTGCATCATCACCCCCCCCCACACACACACACAGATCCTATAGAAATAGTAATTAAAGTTGAACGGTGAAACCTAAGGGAATGGGAAGGTGGAGTACTCTTCTTGGAACAAGGACTTTGTATTTTATGGAGAATTTTGCAGAAAATGAAACACATGGGGAATTCTGAAGCACAATCTGTTAATACAGTGCAGCTGTGAAACAGTTGTTAAGCCAAGCTATAATCAGAATTTCTTTCTTTTTGTTAGCAGAAATGTGGGTTTCCACAGGAGAGATGAAAAACAAGTAGATAACCATTTATTCGATAGAATAAATGTGGAGCTATCTCCCCAACCTCCCAAACCCATACCCTCTATTCCAGATTAAGGACTATCTGCTGTGTGTACCCGTTTTGGATAAAGCTGTGACTAGATCAAAATAAAATTCTTAACCTGTGGCATTATGCCCCGTCCTTCAAGGCTTGGTAACTGGGTAGCTGAACGTCAGGGCATACAGGTTGTTTGGCTTGGTTTTGCATTCTGCTTCCCGTGGTCCGTATTGCTGCGTAGTTTCCCCATGTACCCTGTTCCTTTTCTCTCTTTGCCTAGATCACTGTGTCCATTACTACGATCTTCGGAACACTAAGCAGCCAATCATGGTCTTCAAAGGGCATCGCAAGGCTGTTTCATATGCAAAGTTCGTTAGTGGAGAGGAAATAGTGTCTGCGTAAGTACTTTCCTTCCTGTTTGTGAAAAGCTGCAATGCTTACTGATTATGCTTGGCAAATTTCAAAGACTTATTTGAAGATGGCTTGTGCGGGGTGGGGGGGTGTATGTGCATGTCATGTGTCCATATGAACGGTCGTCTTGCTCAACAGATTGCCGTGCTTTTGTCAGAACAAAAATAGAAATCTATTTCTCAGCTTCCCTGGCTCTACAGCCTCTCACTCTAGTACAAAAGAGTCCAAGAAAAATGTAGACGTATGGGTCGTTTGCTTCTTGCTTGTAAAGCTCTTATTCAGCAGTTGCTTTGGAAGGAATAGCAACAAATGTGCTTCAACAAGGGCTTAATTCTGTGAAGGCTAAAATTGGTATTTCTCTGTGGTCAGATGAGAATGTTATCAGAGAAGGACTTGTAATAACGCTTCATTCCCTTCTCCATGGCTTGATTCTTTTTACAGGCACTTGTTCAAAGAACCTTGGGGGTGCCCCCTAGTGGCAACATACAGCTGACTAGCTTGGGTTGCCAGAGCTGATGTTTAGGGAGCTCAGTGGAGGGTCATCTGATATAATTAGAGAGGAAGAATCAGCAATGAGCAGTCTGCTGGGTAGGTGGAATGAATGTGAGGACCCCATCCTGTCCTTTATTCCAAACGAAGAACCAGCACAATAGTCATCTCTGACTAACAAAGCTATGATGCTTAAATTGTGGTATTATTCACAATCCCTCTGTGTCAAAGTACTTAGTAACCGAATCCAGTGTTCTGTATGGTTCTTCCATGTGCCATTGCCTGTTTCCCCTTTTTACCAGTTTTAACTCATGCTGATAGCTTTTATAAAATGGCTGCGTGCTCAGGACAGCAAGGTGACAGGTATTTGCCAGGAGATCTGTGTTCCTGCAGTGGAAGTTGAAGGGCACTTTCCAAGAGTTTCCCTCCCATCTGAAAAGGGGGCAACACCTGATTATAAATCCACTCCTCCAGTGAAAAGGAGCACTCCAGTTCCCAGAGCCGTCTTGCCTTGTGACAGAGAAGCAAGTCATAGGCTCAGCTCTCTCTAGCGCTCTACTGATCAGAAGCGTTTCTGTTTCATCTGAATTTAATTTCAATTCACCCACATTCCATTTAGCATTTCCAGCTCCAGCTAAAAACTTCCACTGTTTCCCTGGAATATGGAGATGAGGAGTATTTGGGAGGACTTACTAAATGAGGCCACTACTCCATCTAGCCTTTGGTACTGAGACACAGCAAGCCTTGGTTCAGATTCCCACTCATGAAGTCCCATAAGTGGAACAAGAAAGAAGAAAGAACAGGCGGATCTTGGTATAAGCCCCTTAGGTGACTGGTCCATCTTTGTGGGGATTTGAGCAGAACTTGATAAGCATGGCTCCAAGCATTAGCTACTTCAGAATTCCTTAAGCAGGCACCCCTTTTGGATGTGGGGTTGGGTCATGCTTCCCATTATGGAGAAATTATAGAGCCCACTCCTTCATCCATCTTCTCCAGCCATATCTGAAGTCTCTCTAGCCATACTTGTAGAAGAGTAGCATTAATTTCCCTGTAAGTGTTCTTAATCTTAGCTTATCCAGAATCCCTTGACAGGACCATCATAGCGAAATGGACCAGTCCAGCCAGGTACAAGATGATAAGTCACTTGATCAATAATGTGTAGCCTTTTTGTAAAAAAAGACTGGCACTCAGCAGTAGAACTTCTAGTGGCTTCATTGTCATCACCTCCAGTTATTCCTGTAGCGGGCAAAAGTGGGTCAAGGGGCAACAGCAGCAAGCATACAGAAACAGCCTTGGGGAGAACTGTTGACACTCCGGCAGTGTCCCTCCAGGCATAGTCAATGCCGCAGTGTTTTTGAGGACAACTGACATTTGTGGAAGACTTTATAATTTCAAACACCCGTGTATGCAAGATTTAAAAATTTGTGCTAAAGAACTTCTTCTCAACTACCCCCAGAGGGCATGTTCCTGAATGCCAGTCAACTAAATTGTCGGGCGAAGATTGCCAGTATCATAGCCAAGAGCGCATGTGGCTTGAGCTACAGACCAAAGTTCCCAATCGTAACTCGATCCTTTATTGGGCACCAAACTCTTCGGCAAGAAATTGCATGCACTGGTAGCGGAGACCAAAGACATGAAGGCCCTTTCTACAGCCAGGAGTGATAAGCCAGGCTGCAGCTGCCCTTGCCTCACAGGTCCTGCAGCTTTACTGCACACAGTCCAGAATGGCCATGTGTCTAATTGTGAGCTGATACATCCACAAGGATGTCTTTGGGATTGACCATCTGATCTCAGAATGTCCAGGGATCCAAGCTGCTCGCGTTGTGAGTGTCTCCTGCCCTTCGCAACACAACCAGTACAGCTCCTCACTGGTTTCCTGGGTGAAGGAGACCCATCCTATTAACATATGCTCTGGAGTTTGCCATGAACTTGCCTCATCATTGAAGACATTTCAAGACTGAGTTACTGAAGACAATGCTGACAGTGTCTGTCATTGAACCCCAGGAGTTCTTCCGTTAGTCTATCAGAAGTTTTTCTGCACAGCACCACATGAATGTTGCCCACAAAATCCAGTGGTTTTCACAGAAGTGCAGATTTTTTTTGGTACAGAGTGCTTCCATTTAGACTTGCTCCAGCTTGCAGAGTGTTCACTAAGGTTTTCATGGGTTTGCTAACATACATGAAGTTACAAAGCATTTTTCTCTAAATACCTAGATAATGTTCTTATCCTCTCTCATTCTGGAATACAAGTATCTGAGCTGTGTAGACATCCTTGAAGTTCCTTTGGGACCATGTGTTTATGGTAACCACAAGCAAGTTCTTAGGTTTCACACTTTCAGATATCTCATGCAGTTGGCACATGGCTACCTTGGTGGCCGGTGGCCACAGTGCCTCCTGTTCCCTTTCCTTCCCATCAGCCAAGGTTTTGCAAGAAATAAGGAACCAGTGAAGGAGATTTTCCCACTGCTGCGACATCATTTCCTGATCTGGTGATACTGCCCATTCCCACCATGTTGAAAATTCCCAGATGAGTCAAGATCTGCTCTTTAGGTCCAGATCTACGTATATGCCTAACCATACATATTTCAGTTAACAATGCATGGACTAAGGAACAGAGGATGAGGTCATTCAGCTACTCAAGAGATATGTGAATTACCTCCTGGCCTCTAGAAAATCCATCTGTGCTTAGGAGTGGTTCCAAACGTTGGTTCCCCAGAAGTTGGTGGCATATAGCGGTTATCATCCTTGATCATCAACTATGCTGTGATCATAGACAACAATCATATGGCTCCCTTGGCGTTCTCTGTGGATTGGTATATCCAGACGTGCAAGACTCCAAGATGCAAGAGTGCACAGTTCTAGAATTTCTACAGGAATTTCTGTTGGAACTATTCAGGCCTTCAGTGGAAATGAAAATGTTGCACCACCTTATTTCAGTTGGTATCTGTCATTAGGCAGTAGAATTCTGCAGTACACCAGGGCATGGAGTGCTTCCTTTGATGCTGGACTTCAGAGTTCTTAGGTGCACAAGAAAAGAATCCATCCTGGCTTGGCCTAAAAGGCAAAGGTCTTTGAAGAGTGTGGCTCTTTTGAATCCACCCACACTTCACTGTTTTATATCATTTAGTCTTCTAAACTCCCTTCTCCATGTTCAAAACATCCATCTGTCATGTCCACCTTGAACTCTCCTGCTGTTCAAACCACATCACTAATCTATATTTTCATCTGAGATGAACTTCATTAAAACAACATTCAAATCTTCTACAACTTGTCCTGCTGCAAAGGACTCCCAACCAGACCCCCATCCTAACCTACTAACGTGATAACACACGGAACACTTCCAGTAGCCCCTCTTTTCCAGAACCTTGCACTGTACTTTCTCTTACTGTTTTCCTGATTTCTGAACTGATATAACATTCATTGGCATGGCAAGTGAAAGGGAGCTTCACTAGCGAAACCTAAAAGCTGAATTGTTCAACCATCATGTGTGGGACCTTGAAAGGACAAAATCGGCATGGCCTACTTGGGAGACGGGCATCTGTAAATGCTTGTTCCATAGCCTTAGGTTATATTGACAGAGCTGTCCAATTCAGATGAGGCGATAGCTGGGCAAGTGTGTGCTTTGCAGAAACATTTGGTTCTCTTCTCCTCTCCCTCCATTGCCGTGCAAAAGTAACGCGGAAACTAACTTACACTTGTGTTTGCTCTTGAAACATGTCAGCGAAAGAACTCCATCAGTGATTAACTGCACTAATAATTTTTTTTAAAAAAACAAAATATTTGCTCTTTCCAGCCTAAGCTGTTTTATGGATTACATTGATTCCCTCTGCCTTGTTGAGTTACATGTTGACCTCAAGGCCATTCACAACCATCTAACATTTAGCAGGGTTCATTGATTCTGCTTCTGATTTACAGAGGCACGGACAGCTCTTCGCATTGCGAGTAGCTGGTGGGGAGGGCACTCTGCAGGAAGTGCCTGTGCATCTCCAATTTTACTGACTTTAAAAATTACGATCTTTCCTCGTTTCTACTGGACTTTACTTTCATAATTAAAATAACTGGAAATCTCCACACTCATTTCAGCAGCAACGTAAGTCACAAATGTTAGCCTTCACCGGGTGGTTTGCAGCCAGGAACTGCTCAGGTCCCTGGACTTTCATTTCTACATAGTAAAGTCTCCAGCCACGCCTCTACTTTTGTGGCGTTCACCAGCCTCTCTCCCTCCTATTGCACATGTCCTGTCCAGAGAGAAACAAACAACTAACCCTCTGAGAGATGGCGTGGTGTAGTGGCTAAGAGAATGGAACTGGATTCTAGTCCCCACTCAGCCGTGGAGCCAACTGGGTGACTTTGGGCCAGTCACAGACTCTCAGCCCAGCCTACCTCTCAGGGTGGTGGTGGTGGGGATCAGATTGAGAGCCGGAGGAGAATGACATAAGCCGTTTTGAGGTCTTTAAAAGAAGAAGGCAAGGTATAAATCTGATAACTAAATAACAATCAGTATTATAGCTTTTTAAATTTAAGGGTACTCAGCTTTGAGCATGTGGTTTGCACACATGAGATTCCAGGTTGAATCCTACCATCTCAATTAAATAACTTTGTGTAGCTAGGCTGGAACATATCACTGACAGTGACAGTAATTTCATACAGAATAAAACCTGGATACATGGGTTAGTAATGTGAATCAGTCTAAAGGGAGAGGAAGTTGACCTGAAAATAACATTGGTAAGGAGCTGTGAGGACATTTGCAAGAGATAGGCATGGGTGAATATTTTTCTTTTCATTTTTTAAAATAAAAACTAAATTCAGAACCACCTTGATAAGCAGGATAGAAAGAAATTGAATGAAATACATGGGAGAAAACAAACTGATAAGCAAGGAAAACCCGCTGCAAGGATTGGGCCTGTTTCGCCCAAAATACAGCTCTCCAAGGTGGGTACCTCCGACTTGGAATGTGAACTGGAAGGAGTTGGAACACTTAGCTGAATCCAACGAGCTGCCAAGTGCCTGGTGAGAACCGGGCTGCATCTTGTAGCTAGTCTTCAAGGGCAGCCCCCCACAGTGTGCATTTCAGTAATTCGGAGAATGCCAGAGCATGGGTTCTGGAAACCAGACAGTCCCTGTGCAGATTAGACTGTAGCTGAGCCACTAACCAAAGCTGGTTGAAGGAGCTCCATGCCACTGAAGCCACCTGAGCCTTAAGTGACTAAGATGGCTTAAATGCACCTCCAGGCTACCATCCTGCTCCTCCAGCTAAGAGTATTTTGGCCCTGTCTACATTGAACTCCAGTTTGTTAGCCCTCATTTAGTCCGTCGTTGTGTTCAGGCGTGGACTGGCACGTGCACGGCCTTCCTGGTGGAGGTAAAAAGGAGCAGTAGAGCGTGTGCCATCAGCATGAGCCCCTTTACGCCTGCTGTTTTTTCAGCCGTGGCTTTCCACGTTCCTTCGCCTTTCCGTTGCTTTAGGTCTGCTTACCTCCTTTGCTCTTGTTCTTACCCCTGCCCCTCATCTCCTCTGTTAGGTAGTGTTTTCATCCTACCACCCCTGCCTTCTTCCTCCTCTCTTGTCTTTTACTTATTCTCTCCCTCCTGTTTACCATACTGTGCAATGGAGATAGCATGCTGGAAATGGTCTTTCTGGTTCATTCGAGGTACGCAGTGATGTCCATAGATTTTGCCTGCCCTATCAAACGCCCATGCCTGTCCAGAAAGTCTTTCATAGCACTTCGACTTGCAGTGCCAATGTATGGCTTATTCTGAGGTTTATATCTATCTTTCCTTAGGTCAACAGACAGCCAGCTAAAGCTGTGGAACGTAGGGAAGCCACACTGCTTGCGCTCCTTTAAGGGTCACATCAATGAGAAGAATTTTGTGGGTTTGGCATCTAATGGAGACTATATTGCCTGTGGTAAGTAAAACAGGGATTCTGCTAAAGGGGGTCAAAGGGTGCTGTCAGTTTTGAAACTTTGAGTATCCCGCTCATGCTCATGTGTCTTAGTGTTCTTAGGCACCCCTGCAGTGCCCAAGACACAACAGCGCATTGCGACTGGCACCCCCTTTGTAAAACTGAAGGCTGGTCTCCTCACGGTGGTAGAGCAAGCCAGCTATGCGCTTTGTCTTGCCGGGATGATCTGGGTCATGGAATAATGCAGTGGGATAATCAAATCATTAGTGCAGTTGAAAGGGTAGTGCCCGAATAGGGTGCCTGGGGTTGTGTCGGATGCTAACTGAGATACATGCTTAGGAATTCCTATCTGCTCTCAACCTGCCTTTGTTTTTGCTCTTGATTGTAGGAAGTGAAAATAACTCCCTCTATCTCTACTACAAAGGCCTCTCAAAGACATTGCTAACCTTCAAATTTGACACTGTCAAAAGCGTTCTGGACAAGGACCGCAAGGAAGATGACACAAATGAATTTGTCAGTGCTGTGTGCTGGAGGGCGCTGCCAGATGGGGTACACCTTTTTGCTTACTTTCTCTTGCTGTTACACCTAGGAAAAAGTTTTTCCTACCATAGGTTTCTCAGAGCACTTGTTTGGGTCAGCCTGAGGCCAGTGGGAAGCAAGTGCTGAATTGGCATAAAAATGGAAGATTTCCTTTCAGTCAGGAAGAAATAGAAGCTCGGGTTATTTCAGCTGCAAGGGGTCTGCTTCCCAAAGGAATGCTCAAGTTCTGGGCCCAACGCGGAAACAAAATAGATGTTGCGCGTGCTTATGTCGCTGGGCTGGTGGTATGTGACGGGATGCTGCTTATGCCGGGATGCTGGAATCGGTGTTTGGGCTGTGCCGCTTCCAAAATCATGTGGAGGAGTTAGGTTGCCTTGTAGAAATGCTCGCTCCCTTTTGACTTATCCACATTTTCAGCCTGAACATGAAAAGGGTTCGCAAAACTTAAGGACAGGAGGACGGAAGAAAAACCCTGCTGGATCAGAGCAGAGGTCCGTCCAGTCCAGCACTTGGTCCACACAGTGGCAAACCAGCTGCTCACAGGATCCCTCAGGCAGGATGGGCTCGAGGCCTCCTCCTGTCCAGGCTCCTCAGCAGCTGGTGTGTGAAGGCACGCCTCCTCTGGTGAAAGAGGGGGCACACCGTCAGCACGGCCTAGTGAGAGCCTCCTCCCTTATGACGCTTTCCCATCTTTTTGATGCCCTTTCTTCCAGCTTGAAGAGATCCCTCTGGAGTGCCTGGCAATCTCTTTCGTTTTAACCACCCGAAAAAATTTAGTGTCATCCGCAAACTTGGCCACCTCATTAATTATTCCTAATTCCAGGTCATTTATAAATAGTTTAAAAAGCATTGATCCTATTACAGAATCCTGCGAAAGTCTGCTAGTGACACCTCTCCACTGGAAGAAATTGCCATTTGTTCCCACCTTCAGTCTTCTGTTCTTTAACCAGTTAGTGAACCGTAAGAGACCCCCCCTTTTATTCACACACACCCTTTTATTCAACGACTGACTTTTGTCAACCTGACTTTTGTGCCACAAGAAAAACATTTGGACCACCGCAGTGCTGAATATCTTGTGTCTGGCAGGTGGTAACAGTGCCAATTTAAATCCATTTCAGTTCCAGGTTGTAGCACAACACAATATGGAACAGGGCCAGAGGAGTGTTTGTGGATGCTCTGTATGGGCATATCTGGAGCCTGAGGATGAGCATGTCAGGTCGATGGCTGTAGCCCAGTCTTCTCCAGAGCAGCCTAGTTTTCTGTATGGAGGAAATTGGGTTCAGAGTTTTATTGTTTATGGTGGTTATTACTGTGTACAAAGGAGTGTGAGATTTCTGTCATTTTGCAATGCTGCAGCCCTACAAAAGGTGTGCCACCCTAGAGAAAATGAAATCTGGGTCACAGGAAAGCAGCTTCGGTGCGTCTACTGCATGAGTCGGTCCACTGTACTGACTACCTTTTCACAAGTTAGATGTAAAAATTTGGCTAGGGCATTTTGTATAAGTGAAACGATATAAAGTGCTTTAAACCAGAGTTAATACAGTGTAATGGCAGTGATTTAAGTTCCCCCTTCTCTCCAATTTCGTGCTCTCAGAGAACAATAACATGGGGTATATAGGCTTTTGCAATACGAGATGTCATTTTGAATGAGCAGTTAATGTTAAGTTTAACAGAAATATAAGCACTGTATGAAGTCGCTACCCACACCTTCCATTTAAAACTATTTTCTGCTTTAACAGTCTTGATTCTTTTTGATGGGTAGGAACTTTAGCCTCATTATGAGATGCTCAGCTGGCATGCTTACCTTTCATTGACTCGGGGTTGTGTAGCAGGCCTGATCGTGAACATACTGATGAATGCACGGGGGGAACAACCCTATTTTCAACTGCTTCTTTCCTCCACACCCTCAGACCCATCCTGGAAGTAAATTAGGAGGCAATTGCCTGTGATTGATTCCTAAGCATCTTTCCTTTCAGCCGTCACCCTTTTACTTCTCCTTCCCCTCTCTTTATCTCCATCACTCACTCTTGTGTTCAGTGTCCAATAAAATGCATTCTGGATTTGGGACCTCCTTTCCTCCATATTTCACTGGAGAAGTAGCCCTTTAAGGCTTGGAAAGGAAAGGAAAGGAAAGGCTCAGCGCTTGTCCCAACAATGCCCTTCCTGTTTAGCTTGCACCCTGAAAAGAAGGGACCTGTGCTAGAAGGCTGTTCGTCTGTTGGTTTTGTAAATTGCTTTCAAGACTCCTGCAGTCAAAAGTATGACATTTTAAGGTAACAGTGTAAATGAAATCGGGCTGTAACTTGACGGCTGTTTCCTTTCCCTTCAGCATGTACCCTGCAGAGAGAAGAACGAACAGAGCAGTAGTTCAGGTCCAGGGCTGGCAGGGTGAAGGAGACCGCCGCCTCTCCTGAGCACAGCGTGGGTTGCACTTGCATTCCCCCTTCCTTGTCGCTGGTTGGAAAGGAGGAACCGTGTAGGAAATGCCATCCCTCCCTGACTGGGAACTGTAGGCAGTAAGAAGGTTCTGCATCAGCTGCAACCCCCAGAGAAATCCAGGGAAGTTCTGTGGGCCACGTTAGGCCTCAAGCAGAGATTCCAAATGCAGACCAAGTGGGGTTCTGGGGATGGCCCAAGAGGTGCTTCAACCAACTGATTGGTCTTGGGGTGGGGATGCCCAGAATGGCTCCACACTTTCTGGCTCCGGAGAGACCTCTTCAGAGGCACCGTCGTTGGTTGTGTGTGTGTGTGCTGTGGTGCCCAGGTAGTCACACAGGGATTTGCATGCGTCAAGTTGACTTTGTGTCTCAGGGCAGATTCCTCTGCATTGCAGTAGAGGACACACACCGGACAGCTGCATGGTAGCCCTCCTGCTTCCTTGCAGGCGGTCTCCCCCTCTGCCTCTCTTGCTCCCAGCAGCCTTCAAGGCTCCAGCTTTTGCTGCCTTTCTCAGAAAAAGCAGAGGTTTTAGTCAAGGCACTGGGATGATATTGAGGAAACACAGGGCACAGACTGCATGCAGGCAGGAGTCCACTGTGGCTGGGCCACCATGATGCTTCGAAGGAGGCGAGAGGGCTTCTCCACGCGCTCTTTTTGAGAATGCAGTTGTTCCTGGGGCAGCAGGTGCAGGTTGCTGTTTAGCTGTGCGTCTGTCTGGCATCTTGTTGAGCTGAGTTTTTTCCGGTTTTCTGGTGTCCACAAGGATTCCTGCTTTCAGCTTGTGCAGGGAACATACCGGCTCTGAGTGGTTCAGGACAAGGCTGTTTTGCTATTCCCGCTCCGTTACTGCCTCTAATTATAGCAGCCGCATTCTCCTTCCGCGTGTGGCACCACCAAACACTTCGTGATCCATCCCGCAATGTGTGTCACACCATCGCCACCAGGCTGCGGCGCACCTATTTTTATAACACTTCTAATCACCGTCAAGTAAAGGCACGGTGCTTTATCCATGTTCACACATTAGAATGTGTTTCACCTATCGTCAAGCAGTAAACCCTGCCGCTTTCAGATAGGGACTTTCAGCCAGGTAGCAGAGGCACCCCTCACAGATACGATTTGGGAGACTGGAATTGAGTCGTGAGCTTCTCTTGGCCCCCTTGTCCCTCTCCTTGCAAGCGTGGCTTCTCGTCCGCCTTCCAGTGCAGCGCCTACTCTCATGTCATCAGCCAGGATCCCCCTTTCACAGAGTCAGAGCAGTTGAGGGAAAAAAGGGCCTTTTCAGCCTTCGCACCCATCGACTGAATAGCTTCTCTCAAACCGTCTTTTATTGAAGATTCTTCTCCCACAGCACAAAAATCCAAATAGGAAATGCTTGCATACAAAGCATATAGTTAGAGCTGCCAGGCTGCTGACGGGGACTGGGCGTTCTGTTCACATGACTCCAGTCCTCCGTCAGCTTCACTGGCTCCCCATTGAAGTCCGGGCCCAATTCAAGGTGTTGGTGATGACCTATAAAGCCCTAAATGGCTTGGGTCCTGGCTACCTGAAGGAGCGCTTACGTCCATATATGCCCGCCCGCCCGACCCCTGAGATCTGCGGGAGAGGCCCTTCTCCGGGAGCCCTCCCTGAAGGACATTAGGAGGGCGAGTACCCGGAGGAGGGCTTTCTCTGCGGTGGCACCCAATCTATGGAATGCGCTTCCCAGAGAGGTCCGCCTGGCGCCGTCGTTATTTGTTTTTCGGCACCAGGCCAAGACCTTTTTATTCAAATGTCAGTTTAACTGTTAATGCTATTTATTTATTTTATTCTTCGGCCAGGGCGACTTATTTTATATTGTGAACTTGTTTTATATTTTTATTGTATAATATTTTAATTGATATATTTGTGAGCCGCCCCAAGGCTTCGGCGAATGGGGCGGCATAGAAATTTTCTAAATAAATAAATATAGTTACATAAAATATGTAAAAGGCCTAGGTGCTAGCAGTGGTTTCTTGGGTGTACGGTTCTGGGTATTTTAAATCTTGCTAATAGCTCTGTTTTATCTGCTAGTTTGTGTTTTGTTTTTGTTTTGTGTGCTTACTGTTTTGATATTTCCATTGCACAAACCTCCTGTGTACTGATTTCAGTGAAGGGATGTATAAACCACAGTTCACTATAACATCATCCTTGGCTAAAGTCAGCACATGCCCTCCAGCTTGGAATTTGAAACCAACCTGTGATAACAATGGACAGTTGGTGCTAAATAGGATTTGTTAAAAGGATTACCTGAATCGAACTGGGGAGTTGAGATCCACCGAGGGCAAGGCGGTCCTTGCAGGCAGATCAGGTCCGAGCTGCCGGCAGAAGGTGCGGGAGGGGCAGTGCAGGGGCAAGCAGGGTAAAGTGGTGGCCGTAAGCAGCCTCAAGGGGCTCATAGGATGCTTCAGATTCCCAGATCAGAGGTCAAAAAAAGCTGGGTGGAGATTTTCCTCCCACCCCCACCCCTTTCGCAGCCGGTACAGAAGGAACCAGACTGGCTGCTTCTCTAAGGTAGTAAGAGCAGCCTTGGAGAGGGACATGAGTAGAACTGC